AGAAACCATATATCCAGTACGACGATGAACCATATACAGCGAATACCAGGATGTCACAAGCAATCTCGCAGGTACGTGGATTGAGCGTCCCCAATCCATTTCACGACAAACTGGAAAGGTCTTCGTTGGGCAGTGCCTTCCAGATTGTCCCCTGCCCCCCTGCTGTGTAGTCGAAAATCACATCTCCGTTATACACTAAGTCGCAGGACGGTAAAACGGCTGCAGTACGTGAGGGGAAGACCCTTGGATACAGGGTTGTCACACACACATGCACATGCTGAAAAATCGTCGCACACACACACAGGAGGCACATGCTGAAAAAAGCCAGCTCACACAGGAGGCACAGGCTGCAAAAAAACACTGCTCAAAACACTTCCTACAAAACTGGTAAGCTTCTGAATCTTCTCATTTCTAGACACCCATGGCTTGCCGCTGAACCATTACATCAATCTCGGCTGCAGTTGGCCGCAGTTCAAGGTGAGAGTCAGCATTCTTTGCTGGCATGGATACCCAAGCAAGCAGCTTGGCCACACTTCGATCCTTCAACATCTACGAAAACATAAAGTCTGCACTTCTTGCCATGCTTTGGGCATTGGCAAAAGGCCCGCAGCCTGCCAGATTGATGAGTATAATACTAGCTTCACTCGTTTCCGGGGTAAGGATGCGATCTGGCCCAGGCCCGGGATCTTGGACATGACAGGAAGCAATGCTTTGATGTCTGGTCTGCCCAACAGCGGTTCAGACGGCTCCTGTTGGGCCGCCAGATACTCACACAACTCCTCCAAACTACTAACACGGTGAGACCTCTCAGGAAGCTCCAAGGCTCCCTTGCGACGGCGGTTGCTTGTTCTTTTTCTTTTTATCATCACTGATGATTTTCACAAAGACGAAGCCACTGGCTTCCACCTTGTCCTTCACGCGCCGGGCCTGGACGTGATTGAGTCTCCACCCCAACTTGGCGAAATCATCCTCCTCCCCACTGGGGGGCCAGTCATGCGTGCCCCTCCAGGGCCACCCGGGCACATGGAAAGGCCGGGGCAAGTCTCGCTGAGCCATAGCATATGGGCGCATTGGTCGGGCACTGCCTGCATCTGGCTGCTCGCCAGGAAGCTGCAGGAAAGGGTAGAAAGGCGGCCACTGGCGCTTCTCCCTTTCCTCTTCAAAATCAGTGTGGTCGTCACTGACGTCCGCTGGGTCAACGCGCATAGCACTGCTTATGGCGAAAAGGAGATAACTTATCTCCGCGGACCCCATTTCCTCTCGCATGGCTTGCTTGAGGATGTCGGGCGGACTGCACTGCAGAAACCGCAAGCAAATGCCAACACTGCCGGATTCTGCCTAAGGTCTCACGAGATGCCAGCTGGTTCTGCACACCATCTCGGCGTGGCCACGGGGCTTCGCTGGTCTCGGAGTTATAGTGCCGCGCTGCGGCATCAACCATGGCTCCAAAGGAGAGTCCCTAAAGAAAACTAAGGAGCTACGGTGAAACTCTACCAGAGAAAACAAAAAAATCTAGGATCACAGATCCTAGCTTCAAGCCGAAAGCTGCACGGCAACGTTTGTCTAGTGTTCCCAACACACAAGGAAAACACTGTTTTCCTTTTCGACAAACTTTGTCTACACTTTCGGGGGGAAATAAAACTCATTCACACGCACATGATGGAAGCGTAGATGAACGGATGTATTCATTCGCCTTTCGATTCACCTCCAAGTAGAGATCAGCAGCCTTATCACCACCAGCGTGCAGCATGGCCGTCATGGCAACTCCCAACTTGACGTCCATGCTCTTGAACTTCTTGTGACCGGAATCGTTCAGAGCTTCAACGTCAAGCAGTGGTTGGAAAGCCGGGTTGAGCCAAGCCATCCAGTCCTCGTGGTTGGGATCAGCAGATACGCTGAGGACGTTGGCGGTACATGACGATCGCCAATTGTCCAAGTGAGTGAGAGTAGGCCATGGAGGCACGCTGATTTTATCAGCCTTCTCGAGATCTTGACTTCTTTGATCTCAGGATCAGCGTCTCCATCAGGATCACGACGATCGGGCGAGTCCGGATCCGGCTTGCCACCTCCTCACCTCCTTTCTTCTTGTCACCGTCATCATCAGGGTCCGGTGGATCAGGTGGATCATGTCCTACACCGGCACCGTCACCTGGATCTTCATCTTCATGATCGCCATCCTCTTCATTTTCGCCGTTGTCCTCTTCAGCCTCCTTGCAACGCATCAGCCATTAGCTTCCATTCGTCACGATCGGCTCTCAGACGTTGTTCGGCCTGTTCGGCTTTGAGGACTTCACTCCGCAAGTCGGTAATCTTCTCTTCGTATTCCATTGCGATCTGCCTCCTGCGTTCATCATGGATCGTTTCATCGAAAGCAATGGGTTGTGTCCCTTCACCAGGAATCTGGCGAATTCCTTTGTTGGATGCGGGTTCACCGTCATGTTGGACAGGTCTGGAGGAGCTATAGCCGATGAGGTGGAATTTCTTCCCCTCATTTTAAGATCTTCCAGAAGTTCTCGGAGCTGTCCGTCACGTACGGCTCGAGCATCAATTTGTCTTTGGGTGGATCCGACTGGAATGCCGAATAAAGACGCTGCACTAGGCGCAAAACGCTCAAATGCTGGAGCATCAGCACGAGGCGCAGAACGCTCAGGCGCTGTGCTTTCAACCGTTGGACCCATCCCGTCAGACGAACTCGCAGCAACCTTCTCGGCTTCATTGGTGAGGACTTCTCCCATGATCTTTGATCCATCGGTTGTGGAGGTTTTGTCCTTGACCGGTTCGGCGAATGTGAACTTCCCTTTGGCGACAGGACTGATCTGACTAGGTGAACGTGTTTCGGGGGATCGTACCTCAACTCCCAAGGAAAATGCAGGCACTACATCCTTCCCTATGTGTTCCCAGCCGGATTCAGTAGTCCTTGAAGACATTGGCACACTCGATGCACGCAGCGATCCAGCTTGTTGGGCCGAGAGTCGTGCCGCATCAAGTTCACTTCGTGTCCTTGACTGAAGTTCTTCTTGCGCTTTTAGAGCTTTCTTAAGATCAGCCAATTCGTCATGCAAGGTCGGCAACGCCTGTCGTGCATGGTTCTCATGTTGATGGAGTTGATCTTCAGCTTCGTGCATCCTTCTTACGGCCATCACAGAAACTCTTCCTCTTCACCAAGTCGTTCACGAAGTCGTTGATGTCCATGATTCGTTGTTGTTTGGGCACCGATCATACCCTGCATCTCGTTTGCGACCCGTGTTTCCTGATTCCTGGTGACATTGAATCGTTCCTGCATCGAATACATGGCTTGCTCAGAGCTAACCATGTTGGCCCGAAGGTGTAAGTGTAAGTTCCTTCTAGCTGGTTCATGAAGTTCATTCGTCAGGCGCTCATACTCCCTTGCCATCAATTCACCGTCACCTTGTGCCTTAGTCTCCAGCTGCACGTAACTGGTAGCAGCATCACTGCGAACCATATGCAACTGCTGAGCAAGTTCCTCGGCGCTTTTCGTCCATTCGGAACAATGCGACCTCGTAGTCATGCTTCATCTCCTGATTGACGTTGCTGATGTGTCTCATGGCCATGCACGCATTGCCACGCTGCCGTTCCAACTCTTCAACGCGAATCCCCGATCCTTCATCCTCTTGCTGCATCTCCTTGATCTTGTCCACCAACGCCTGCACAATGCTCTCATACTGCTGCACTTCACCTCGATAGTACATCTGATGTGCAGTGCTGGAAGCTTCGAGCTGTGAGCTTGGATCATCAACGATGGCAGGAATTGCAGCCGACGATGCATCACCACGAACCGGTATGGTTTCCAAGGTCATGTCCTCATCGTCGGGATCCTGTGGATGGTTCGTAACCATTTTCTTCCATGTCATGGATCTTTCTCTTACCCTTGCTGTCGATGTCCTTGATCTCGAAGACGAGCTCCTCGAAGATGATGGTTTCGACACTTTGTCCGCTGATTTGACTTCCTTGTCCTTTACCCTCGACGGCGTCCTCATCACCTGCAAACCAGATGATTCAGATCGTCGCTCAACCGCCTTTGCTGTCCTCGATCCTGCGGATGTTGGAGGAGAAGGCGTGGATGCTCTCGAAATTGCTTTGGCTTTGGGAACTGCCTTGGCGATGGCGAGCGCTGAGGATTGCCCTTTGTCATCCTGAGTGGAGCTGTCAAAGGACTGCACCACGGTGTCATCGGCGGTTGAATCGCCAACTGCCGGAGCTGCCATCTCGGCACCGAAAGTCATTGTCGTATCTTGACTTGACCCAGAGTTCATCGTGGTCGTGGTAGATCAAGTAGTCTTTGCTGTTGGTAGGCAGCGCCTACGGCTGATAACCTGCGTGGGGATTTGATCTTGATGTTGTCCCTTGTCGCTCACCCCACCGAGCTAATGAATGTGAATGTGGTTGCCCTCAACAGAATCGATAATCTATCACCTTGACGTCCACGTCCAGACCCTTATCCCTGGCAGGCAGATTCAGAGCTCGTTTAATATCACCTTTCTGATAGGCGATGAATCGTCTGTGCTCGGGATGGCTCTTTTCCTCAGAAAGGTCACAGAAGACAATAAGCTATGTTAAGCTTATGGCATCGGTTTCTGAGCCAAAGTTGCATCGGCGGCATTGGTAAATACAGTGTAGCACTGTGGTACGCGAAGCGTTCCCCAGGCGTGCACCTAGAGTCGAGGTACGTGAAACTTTCCCCCGCTCTTGGCTTTACCAGCAACAGCTCATTGACTCATAGCTCTTATCGTGACACCTCAGAATTGACTGGGTATCGCAGTCCGTTCGCATTTAGAGTTTGGAGCATAGAGTCTAGGGTTTAGGGGTTTAGCCGAGTAGGGGTTTGGGGTTTCAGGTTTTGCTGTTTTTGAGCACCTGGTAGGGTTTTGGGTTTCTGCATAGCCCCTTCGTATGACTCATGTCCATGTCTATTAGGCTCAACGACTACAGAATTCGCAACATGAAGCATGCACCGAAGCAAAAAAACTCGTCAGCAGCGCCTCAACTCCAGTGCTGCGCAGCTCTTCCCAACGGCCCCCGTACTGCTCCTCGATCTCTAGCGCTCCGGACCTCAGAACTGGAAACTGCAACCTGTTCTCTTCCTCCACACAATCGAAAGCTGCTAAGTTCCCCCGAGAATGCCACGTGTTCGGGGTCTGCTGATTCTCGTTGCCGTCCTGTTGGGCAGCCAGCAGCTTGCTGTGCTTTGGAACAACAGTAATTTCAGGGGGGTGGACTTCGCGCGACATGACCTGCACTTAACGTGACTCGGGCACCAGCCTCTTCGCTGCTCATGTAAGGTGGCGTCCTTACACATGACATCTTACACATAAAGACTTGAAGCAGTGCTTGCACGTGCACTGCAATGCTTACGCCAGTTTCCGAGGCCTGCGCGGTAGTCCTCTGCGTTGCACAGGAAGCATAAGCGGTGTAAGCCTTGATAACACGAAAGGTGCCAAAACTCTGCGCACAACCGGCGCGATGCACCATTGCCCCAAGGCCTGAGCAGAGGTGCCGCCTTTCCCGTCGGAGGAGCCTGCAACAAAAGAGCACTGGCTGTCGTACTGCCTGCCTTCGGGCTGCCCGGCTTTGTCAAGCTGCACAGATGTTGTCTTTGAATTTCTGACATTTGCAACGAAAGGTTGTGTTTGTGGTTTGGAGGGTGGTTCTGCCCTACATTGCCTTACAGTGAAAACAACTTCGTCCACGGGTGAGACGTTAAGGCCTTTTCTTGAGCGTGCCAGTTTTTTGTTGTGGCAAACATGTTGTGCTGCTTTTTGCACTCGCACTTTGCCAAGAAATCTTGATCTTACGATCTTCCGCTTCTTGCTTTCTGCTTTTTCAATCAATATGTCCAAGGGGTAGACACAGCTTTAGTCGAATGCTGTTGTTGAACTTGATTTTCGTGCTGCTTGCATGGCGTTCTTCCTGACTTCGACTTGCACATGTTATTTCTTTTCGTGTAACCTAAAGTTGTGCTTCGTCCCGTGCTTTCTCCCACCCTCCTCGCCGTCTTTGGTGCCACTTGCCTTGATCATTCGAATTGCTCTGCCTTTTGAAAGTTTCCGCTGCTTGCACACCCCTGAATCCTATTCACGCTTCTGCACTGAGTTACACTGAAAATGCTTCTTGTGTCGGCCACACCCAAAGGCCCAAGGATGCTGGCGGTTTCGCCTGCTACATGGACAGTGGCAGGCACAAGGACACTCCGCACTCCACTGAAGAAGCTTTCTGTCCAAGAAAGATGCGAGCCCGTTTATCAACATGTCAGTTGAACAATTATGTGTGATAAAGCATGAACAGGTTGCAAACATGTAGCGCTCCCTCGGCCCCAATCTCATAATCTTACGAAAAAGTCCACTTCTTGGGTTAGACAGGTCCTAAACTACGAGCAGACCTGATAAGGGTTGAGGGTTTAGGGTTTAGAGGTTTAGAGTTTGGAGCATAGAGTCCAGGGTTTAGGGGTTTAGCCGAGTAGGGGTTTGGGGTTTCAGGTTTTGCTGTTTTTGAGCACCTGGTAGGGTTTTGGGTTTCTGCATAGCCCCCTCGTATGACTCATGTCCATGTCTATTAGGCTCAACGACTACAGAATTCGGAACATGAAGCATGCACCGAAGCAAAAAAACTCGTCAGCAGCGCCTCAACTCCAGTGCTGCGCAGCTCTTCCCAACAGCCCCCGTACTGCTCCTCGATCTCTAGCGCTCCGGACCTGAGAACTGGAAACTGCTACCTGTTCTCTTCCTCCACTGCTACCACTTTAAAATTAGCTGCACAATCGAAAGCTGCTAAGTTCCCCCGAGAATGCCACGTGTTCGGGGTCTGCTCGTTCTCGTTGCCGTCCTGTTGGGCAGCCAGCAGCTTGCTGTGCTTTGTACAACAGTAAGACTCGCGCTGAGCAGGAGCGCCACGAACACGAAGCTTAGCTGCAATGATGGCCCCATGTACGTGGCTGCCGGGCCTCCTCATGCCTATTCATCCGGTACACCTGCAGCTCGTCTCGCTCCCATGAGCACCAGCATGGTAGTGGCATATCCAGCAGACCTAAGGCGGGAATGCCAATCAAGCAACCCCTCCCAACGGGAGTTCTCTCAATCTTTGGTGCAGAACTCGGCCGTGTCACCGCGACTGCCGCAGACCATGCCTCATAGGTGAAGCTCAAACGAATTCCATGCAAAGTTGATGCATCGCAATCTTGCAGACATCACAGCGCAGCTGAGGCTGCAACTGACTTCTCCGGAGTGTCGTTGTCCTGTCTCAATGGCATTTTGTCTGGGCGACACCGGGCGACACCACTCGGCATAAAGCATACTACTATACTCCTGTGTTCGAGGTTGTCTTCGCGGTGTGCACGGCAAGCCCAGGTCCTGACAAGATGAACGCGAAATTGTAGGAGTCTTCCATGCAGTTCACACAGCACGTCGGCAGCGAACTGCATGCTCTATTGCGCACAACAGACTGCTTGTAATCGTTTGCTCTGTCAACCTGTTGAAGAAGCGACGCCTGGAACACGATAGGTGCATGAAGGAGCGGCTCAGACACCTGCCAATTTCGGACTGCTCTTAAAGCAAAAAACTCGTCAGCAGCGCCTCAACTCCAGTGCTGCGCAGCTCTTCCCAACGGCCCCCGTACTGCTCCTCGATCTCTAGCGCTCCGGACCTGAGAACTGGAAACTGCTACCTGTTCTCTTCCTCCACTGCTACCACTTTAAAATTACTTGCACAATCGAAAGCTGCTAAGTTCCCCCGAGAATGCCACGTGTTCGGGGTCTGCTCGTTCTCGTTGCCGTCCTGTTGGGCAGCCAGCAGCTTGCTGTGCTTTGTACAACAGTAAGACTCGCGCTGAGCAGGAGCGCCACGAACACGAAGCTTAGCTGCAATGATGGCCCCACGTACGTGGCTGCCGGGCCTCCTCATGCCTATTCATCCGGTACACCTGCAGCTCGTCTCGCTCCCATGAGCACCAGCATGGTAGTGGCATATCCAGCAGACCTAAGGCGGGAATGCCAATCAAGCAACCCCTCCCAACGGGAGTTCTCTCAATCTTTGGTGCAGAACTCGGCCGTGTCACCGCGACTGCCGCAGACCATGCCTCATAGGTGAAGCTCAAACGAATTCCATGCAAAGTTAATGCATCGCAATCTTGCAGACATCACAGCGCAGCTGAGGCTGCAACTGACTTCTCCGGAGTGTCGTTGTCCTGTCTCAATGGCATGCTTTTCTCAATGGCATTTTGTCTGGGCGACACCACTCGGCATAAACCATACTACTATACTCCTGTGTTCGAGGTTGTCTTCGCGGTGTGCACGGCAAGCCCAGGTCCTGACAAGATGAACGCGAAATTGTAGGAGTCTTCCATGCAGTTCACACAGCACGTCGGCAGCGAACTGCATGCTCTATTGCGCACAACAGACTGCTTGTAATCGTTTGCTCTGTCAACCTGTTGAAGAAGCGACGCCTGGAACACGATAGGTGCATGAAGGAGCGGCTCAGACACCTGCCAATTTCGGACTGCTCTTAAAGCAAAAAACTCGTCAGCAGCGCCTCAACTCCAGTGCTGCGCAGCTCTTCCCAACGGCCCCCGTACTGCTCCTCGATCTCTAGCGCTCCGGACCTCAGAACTGGAAACTGCTACCTGTTCTTTCCTCCACTGCTACCACTTTAAAATTAACTGCACAATCGAAAGCTGCTAAGTTCCCCGAGAATACCACGTGTTCGGGGTCTGCTCGTTCTCGTTGCCGTCCTGTTGGGCAGCCAGCAGCTTGCTGTGCGTTGTACAACAGTAAGACTCGCGCTGAGCAGGAGCGCCACGAACACGAAGCTTAGCTGCAATGATGGCCCCACGTACGTGGCTGCCGGGCCTCCTCATGCCTATTCATCCGGTACACCTGCAGCTCGTCTCGCTCCCATGAGCACCAGCATGGTAGTGGCATATCCAGCAGACCTAAGGCGGGAATACCAATCAAGCAACCCCTCCCAACGGGAGTTCTCTCAATCTTTGGTGCAGAACTCGGCCGTGTCACCGCGACTGCCGCAGACCATGCCTCATAGGTGAAGCTCAAACGAATTCCATGCAAAGTTAATGCATCGCAATCTTGCAGACATCACAGCGCAGCTGAGGCTGCAACTGACTTCTCCGGAGTGTCGTTGTCCTGTCTCAATGGCATTTTGTCTGGGCGACACCACTCGCATAAACTATACTACTATACTCCTGTGTGCGAGGTTGTCTTCGCGGTGTGCACTGCAAGCCCAGGTCCTGACAAGATGAACGCGAAATTGTAGGAGTCTTCCATGCAGTTCACACAGCACGTCGGCAGCGAACTGCATGCTCTATTGCGCACAGCAGACTGCGTAATCGTTTGCTCTGTCAACCTGTTCAAGAAGCGACGCCTGGAACACGACAGGTGCGTGAAGGAGCGGCTCATCCTGCCAATTTCGGACTGCTCTTGACGTTCGAGTGTGCATGCAACTGTTGCGTAAAGTCAAGGGCTTTGGCGATAAATAGTTTCATTCTTTCTAACACCCTCTGATCTGCTTCCGGGTGCCGGGATCAGACTGGCACAGATGCCTCTAATTGGAGAATGTGGACATGTGAGTGTGCCGTGTGCGACGGCGCGGTCCAAGGTCCACTTACCGTATCAAGCAGAAGGCATCTGCTTTCCGACAGCTGCTTCCTTGAAGTTCAACTCCTTGATCAACAGGGTCTCGAATGCCAGCAGCTCTTCAGAGAAGGCCTACGATCACGAGCAAGACTCGCAAAGCAAAATGTCACGGCAATCTTCCAGGCAATCTTCAGACATCCAGTCAATTCGTTTTCGAGTGGCCGAGTGGGGCACTATATATTTCTTGCTGGTGCTGCGCCTGGTGTCAGTCTATCCCGGGGGACCACGCCTTCTTGCACTCCAGGAGATTTTGCTTCAGCAGGCCTGCACTGAGAGCTTGCAAAGACTGTCTTCCGGTATGTTCCCGGCATGGCATCGTCCTAACAACTCCGCAAGTTCGGTGTGCCAAGCAACAACCAACTCCGGCACTCCGCGGCACCGCATCGGGACTCATGGCACCTTGAGTTTCGCACACCAGCTCTGCACGAAGCCGACAAAACTCCTGCAAGGCGGGAATCTTCTGCCTCCAGCTGCTAGCTTGCCCCCTGATTTCCAATCTTTCCGGGTATCGCTACACTCTCTGGCCCACCTGCTCGAGTAGCTCTTTCACACAGTCGGATGGTAGGGCAGGTACCACCTTGCAAGAATCGTAGCAATTCATAACTGCTCACAATATCCTTTAGGCAGAAGCAAACTACTGAGACGTAACTACTCTACCACAAGAAAGAACACTGTTCAATCAAGGACCTGCTTTTTGACCATTGATGGCTCCGGTGCTGTACCCGCCCACACTATAACAAGCAACAAAATCGCAGGTGCCCCGGGCTGTGGCTATTTCGGCCGCACTGCAGCCGAACGGGCTGTGACAACTGCGACGATGTCTGCCCTCAAACACCCACATGTTCAAAGCACTGCTAAAACTTAAACCCCCCCAATTTGGAGACTGCAGTCGAAAAAAGACGTTCATACAACGCGCCTCCTCCCTCCAAATGGCCTTCCACATGGCCACAAACAGCCGCACGAAAAGAGCCGTTAATGCAGCTGTCGATTAACCATTGCTCGAACTACCATACACCGTGTCCGCACACTCCTTACAATGAGATTTGTTGCAAGATTAAGTCATGGTTGCGCATATCATGTATGCGATCAAGGCTGCCAGGTTAGCTAGCCTCGTCTGAAGCTTTGGATGAGCAAAAACGGTCAATGAGTCAACCAGCAAGGCACACAAGCTTCGTATAAAACAAGCAGATGTTCGAACAATTCAACAGTGCCATCAACCAAAAGTCTCACATGTCCTTTCCATGTTCAAATTGATACGTCGCCGACGTGAAACACTGAACACATCCCAAAAAACATTGAAATCCAATATCCAAGTGAGCTCCAAATTTCGCAGCTGGCTGATTTGCTTGATTGCGGTTCAGGATGGAGGTCACGTGTGATACCAATCACACGAAAATACAACATCACACGAGGCGATACACAATGTGCTGGTTTGTCCAAGAAATGGCTTTCAGACCATGTTCTTGAAACGGAAGTTCTGTTTGCTCGTGCTTATATACAGAGTTGAAAACTTTTGACTGCTCAAAGACGCCTGCGGAAAAAATGCGGAAGGTTTGCACTGCCGACGAAACCATTGCCTAACATAACGCAACTTTCACTGGAAATGAGCTCGAACATACATGAGCACTCAATCTATTCCATCTCAGGAAAAGATCATGCATAGCCAAATCAACATATATTCAATCCTGATGAATATTCAACAGAACCTATAGAAAACTTCAACTGTTCTCAGTAAGAGTACTGTGAGTTTACAAAGCGTAGCATAACAAAGCGAGAACGCACTCTCTCTTTTTACTCGCGGAGGATGCTTGAAGTCGATGCGAGGCAATGCGATGCCCAAGTTAGGAGGAGCTGGCAGAGCGTTGCCGAGCTCGTTTCCCCCTCTTTAGTTCGACTTCAGCATCCTCTGCCTTGCGGGCTCAGAAACCCCCCTCGCACGAGGATGGAGAAGGAGACCTGCCGAGACGGTACAGGAACAAAGGCAGAAGCGCGCTCTAGTGCAAGGCGTGCAGCAGCAAACGTCTGATGCAGAGTTTATCCTTTTCACGTCCGGTGAGAAAGTCAACGCAGAAGGCTGCGCTGTGCCTCGCAGAGGCGAGGGGGGAAGGTATTCTCCTCCCCTTTCAGTGAAACTGTGTGCGAAGCCGAGGCGAGCTGTGCAAGGCTAATGCGTACCCGTTCTTTAGATCGATGCTTAATGAAGGCGAGGCGGCCGCGGCTGAGAGCGTCAGCCCAGGTGTTCTTTTCACCAGCCAAGTGTTCGACTTGGAACTGGACACGGTGCAAGTGCGCCCACGTGGCAGCGAGGCGTAAGAAAGTGCTGAGTGGTTCTGCTGTCGTGAAGAGGCGATTGACGCCACTCTCAGCAGAGGTGTTGTCGCTGGCGCTGGGCAGGACGAAGCGCGTATGCTTGTGTCGAAGCAGTGCCCAGGAGCAATGAGCTAATGCCAGCTGTGCCAGTGCCTCGAAACATGCGATGTAACTTTGCATGGATCCGTGCAGTTGAGGCCATTCGGCACGAACCTCTTCGGCTGTAAAAATTTCGCTGTACCACACGAAGTGCGATGCAGTGCTGAGCCAGCCGCCGATGCCCATGCGGTCTGTGTCGGCAAAAGCATCGGCAGCGCTCATGCATGGCGCGACTGGAGGAGTGCGAAGGCTGCGGGGCTGCTCGTGCTTGAAGCAGAGTTCTAGCCAAGCGAGGCAGAACTTGCTGTCTTGCTTGAGGTGAATTTCCGTGCGGTTCGGGTCTGCGAGACGCACCCACTGATGTTTGTGAGAAGGCGGTACGCGAGGCACATCTGTCTTAGAATGTATCTTGATGGCCCCGACCTCAAGCAGTTGTGCATTGCGAGGCAGCCAGGATCCCAGTGGCGTGGAAGCTAGTTTGGCGGTGTTGTCGAGGCAATCGTAGAAAGACGCCCAAGCCTGAGGCGCGATGCTATGAAGTGTCCCTGCGCTGCTGTGCATGTCTTTGTAGAGGCAGGACATGAAGGAGCGCATGTGTGGGCTCAAAGTAGTGGCCCAATTAAGCAAGCCTAGGCAGGCTTCCAAGTCCTTTTTTGAGAACTTTGGATGCGGTGCGAAGTTTGCAGAGCTGTTGACACAATTTCTCCAGCTTGCCCTGGGCCAAAGCGACAGTTTCAGTGCGAAAGCAGAAAGTCCAGCCGCACCAAGTGATCTGATCCCCAAGCTGTGCCTTTTTCCAGCTAATGGGTGCATGCAGTGCGGCAAGCAGTGCCACAATGAGGGCGACCGGCTGGTCTAGTTTGTCACGCAGAAGTGCGGCGAGAATATCATCCACATAAAGCCAGGCCTTATGCGGGTATTTGCAGAGCAGTGCATGCAAAATGCGAAGGATGAGCGATCCGGTGCGTTGCCACCAATATGCTGAAAAGCGGGCGCCGAAATGGCAAACTGTGTAGTGATAAAGCTTGTCTGCAATGCGGAAGAGCAGAGTGCCTTGCTCTGCTGAGCGAACCTTTTGCGACTTGTGTGCTGCTTTAAAGTCAAGGGAGAGGCCTTGCAGGCGAGCGAAAGGATCCGATGCGAAGAAAGTGCGTTGCACGTCAAGGGCGCTTGGCATAGAGACCTGCTCCGGAAGATGCACCGACGGGTTCAACCCGCACACGGAGCTGTCCAGAACAAGGCGGGGGTCTTTGCCATCTGCAAGCACGATGTTCAGTTTGCCGATTGCGGTGCCGAGCGGCCAATGCTTTGCGGCGTCTTCGGCGGAGCCGTGGAAAGGTGCAACGTGTCCGGCAGCCACCTCCTGGTCAACTAACTGCTGAAGCAGTGCGGGATCACGTTCGGCTGCAGTCCAGTTGCCGGCGCAGTGCTTAAGGCGGTGCGGGTCAAGGTCGGAGGACGTGTCAATGTTCTGCGGGGCTGAAGGCCAAAGCCCGCTGGGCGGAAGCGGGGAGAAAGCGCCTGTCGGAACTCCTTCCTTCAGAATGGCCACCAGTCCTGTGTCAGGATCATCAATGGCTCGAGCCAGCATTTCGAGGATTTCGAGGCGAAATGGCTGGCCTGGCTCGATGTGCAGGGCTTCGGATGAGGGCATGTGCCGAGCGAGATGAAGTCTGATGATCTCTGCATGCAAGCACTGAACCGTGCTGTTCAGAAAGCGGAGGCTCTGCCTCTGCAAGGCCGGCGTGCAGATGTGCGAGAATAGGCTTGAGTAGTTGTTCTTGGCGCAGATATTCTAGCATGGACTGCGCAAGCGTAGCCAGAGGTGTGCTGGGCTTATTAGTTATTAGTGCAGTGCATATGATCAGCGGAGCTGACGTTGCCTGCACCATCGCAAACCGGTGAACGTTTGCAGTGGAAAGTGCGAGCGCCCAAGGTGTGCAGAGCGTGTAGAGGCAGTGGAGCTGAGGGAGACTGTGTGGTGACATCGGCTGTGCAGAGAGAGGCTAAGGCCTGCAAATCTGGGCTGCCGTCGGACTGCAGCTTGTTGTGCAAGGAGCAGCTAATTCCCAGTAGTATGCGGCGAGGCGAATGCATCCATGTACACGTGGCTGCAAGTTCCTGGGCGAGTTGCAGATACATATTAAAAATATCCTCGGAGCAGGGCTGAGGGAAAGCAAAGATAACGTGAGCACCTTGGAGGTGTGCGGCGCGATGCAGAGCGCAGAGGCTTTGATGAAAAGATGCAGAGCAAGAACTGGTATCTCCGAGGATGCAGAGCACAGCAAGAACATCGGACCAGGCAGCCCCCTGCAGTGAAGAAAATACTTCTGATTGCCAGTGACCGTCGGGGTTCAGCAGGGCCGGTGGCGAGGCGAAGCAGTGCAAGGAGTTGTTGTTTTATTGGTGTTTTGAAACAGATCGGGCGGCCAAAAAAGCAAGTAGCGTGCTGAGGCGATGCACGCGGAGTTCACCGAATTGCGGCCGGAGAGAGGGGAGTCGCTATCACCCGAATCAGATGCTTCACTGGCTGAAAACTGGGGTTTCTGCTTTGAAGGCTGGGCTACCGCGCGAACAGATTCAGGCGGGGCAGGGCAAGGTAGCCTAGCAACCTTAGGAGGCAGGGCCTTAGGGGGACTGCGGGACCTAGAACCCCTAGGCGAGGTGCAGGGCGAGGCTGAGCAGGGCGCGCAGGAGACAGACGAAGGCGAGTGGCTGCGCGGGGTCCGGGCTGCTGGCAAGAGATTGCTCCCGGATGCCATCTCCTGCGGTTCTCAAGATGGGCTGGGCTTTTCAACCTTGTGGTTGGCAGGGCTGACCTGAAGGCAGTTTAAATGCACACACATATTCGACTTTGCAGTTTTTGTTTGTGCAATTGCCTTTGTTGAAGCGGATGCAAAGGGTCTTATCGCCCAGTTTGGTGGCGAGCGGTGCAGTTTGCTGGTTGCCGGAGTTAGGGGTGCGAGGCTGCTTGCCAGGCTGGCGCACTCCTTTGCCGTTGGCTTTGCCGCCTTTGCCACGGATGCGGTCTTCCCTGGTGGGGCGGAGAGGCGGTGCTGGCGGCTTGGCACGCAGCTGCAACAGAGAACTGATGTCCGAGCGAACGCTTGTGATTTCATGCAGAGCGTCGTCCAGGGACCACCCGCTGCTGTGCAGTGCGGCTATTTCTTGCCAGATCTTGCGATCGGCGACAAGAAGCTCTTGCGTAGTAACGGTGCGGAGGTGCAAGTCGGGTGAGACGGTTTGCGTTGCAAGGTCGAGGACCTTTTTGTCAAACGCCTTAAGGCGTTGCAGATGCGCTCCGTTGCATATTGCGATGGCGTTGCGGAAGACGGTTTGCACGCGTTGCAACCAGGCGGAGCTGAGGCGGAGATGGTCGACGGCCATTTCTGGCGTGTCGTCGAAAAATGCGGTGCTGATGAGGTGCGCTTCGGTGCGGATCTGTTTCGTTGCCTTGCTCTGTATGATTTCATCATACTGCTTTGCGGAAAGCCTGAGTTGCCAGGGCACCCAGGTAATGGTGTGCCCTGGTTG